GTAGGAGAACTGCCTGGAACTGAAGAACCACTGGGAGATATGATCAGGTGTGCCCTTATCCTGTACCTCGTTTAAGTTACAGTAGGAAGATATTGTCAGTATACCCATCTACAAGATGAACAATGTGTGCTTCCAGGTCCTGAGGCTGGTAAGATCAGTCTTGCTTAGAGGTACTGAAAAATGGTGATTTATTTATTTACTTACTTATTTTTTGTAAAGTATTTTCTTAAAATAGTTGTGGCCTTTTACTTAAATATATTGGAAATGGAAGCTATAGCTGGTAGCTCTAACCCCATCTCTTGACAAAAATTCTGTCCAGACACTGCCATCACTATGACAGGATTACTGCTTTGCTGCTATTGGAGCTTGGATGTCTGCTTGGCTGTATTAGGAGAAGGGAGGGAGGAATTGTCTCCCCACACTGAGCAGTTTTCTGTTGCAGGCATTTAGAGTGGACTGGATCAGAGAGGGTTGCAGCCACATGTAACACTCTGAAATAAAAAGCTAAAAATACAGGAAGGTTTATGATGAGCAAGTTGCCAGTAAGAATGTTGCACAGCTGAGCAAGCTGTTAAGTCATAACATCGTTACAAAGGAATGAAATGCCTATGCTCAGTAACAGTGTACCTGACACTAACTGAAAGGCCTTAAGCCCCATCTCTAATCCATCCACTAGGCTACAAGACAACTGTGCCTAAACCTTGCTTTTTTCCATTTTAATGCCAAGACGGAAGCATTTTGCAGCAGATCCACTCCACACAAATCAATTAGTTACTTATGGCCCCATTTTGAAAACTGCTGAGCATTTGCATTTCTTATTAAAGTTAAGTGAAGTTGCAGGTTTTCAGCACATCTTAAAATCAGGCCATTAACCCTTAAGTATCATATAATAACTCAATTAAAAATCTACCAAGACTTACTTCAGTAGCTACCAAAATCCCATGGTTTGCAGAATAGTCATAAAAATACTATTCTTTAGAGTCCTCTGGGCTCCTGGGGCCATTAAAGCCAACTGCTGTTAACCTTGTTAAACCAAATCATCAAAAGATTCACCTGCAAACAATTTACACTTGCCTACTTCCTTGTATCTTCCTGAAGGTATACAAATTATTTGTCATTGTTTATATTGTTTGCTGCTTTTTTCTCCCTTCTTCAAACCAAAAACATGCACTTGATGTTCTATAGCTGACTGGCTAATAGAGTCCCCTAATCGTTAACAAAAAAGGCTGCAGAAAGAGTAACATGAAGGATTATCTCAGTAAATGAAATCTAGCACGTACTTTGACCAACTCAGGGCCCCATGCACTTGTTTCAAGGTTAGCAAGTGTGTCATTTTCTTGATATATGCTTGCTGCGGTTATAAGGTTTCATACTACACATGCTGCATCATAGCCAAGAAGAAAATGGTGACTTCAACCATATACATAGCTCTAAAATAAAAAAATTATTCTGATCAAATTCACAGAAATCAACAGGGAGATTGTAGGTGACTCCAGTCATCTGGTTCAAGCCCTATAAGAAGTTAGTGGATTCAGTGAGACTAGAAAATGAAACAATTTCCATTCTTCATTCAGGGTTGTTTTGCACGTTTTAAGCTCCCATAAATTAAATAAGTACTGTATTAATAGCCAAACTCAGCTGAGAAGCAATAAAAATAAAGCACCAGATTTTGCTGGTATATGCAGATGGCAACAGCAAGTTACAGTCACGTTTTGCTTAGTCATTTAGGCTAGGAACATAGGTTACACATATACCCGTTTAAATGATCTGAAACTAGTTTAAGCCTGTAACAGAACAGAAGTTCAGTGCACATAAGCTACTTTCAAAATGGCCAAAATGTGTTGAAGATAAACCTGGTTGGATATAGTATCATACTAAATTGATTTAAGTCAAACCGGTTTATGGAACTTTTATCCTAGATCCCTTTCCAATTCAAGTTAACTCACAGTCTCCCAGTATCCCAGAATGCTTTGCAGTCCTGGGCTGTGCTATCTGTTCCAGCAGAGCAGGGCTGACCCCTCCCCCAGCTATCACAGAGCTAAGGTGCTAAAGCCTCTACTCCCTGCCAACATCTGTCAGCCCAGCAGGATGGGGTAAGGGGCAAGGGAACAGACCCCCAGCCCTGCCCATCTCCCTGTCTGTACAGGACAAGGGAAAGGAAAGCCCCAGCAGTGGGGGCAGCTTTTCATCACTGCAGCAGCCATGTGAGCAGGGTTAGCATCAGCTCAGCCCCACCCCCAAGCCTGTGATGTAGGGTGGAACAGGGTGGGGGGCAACTGCAGTGGCCTGGCCTCCCCAACTGGGGTCTGCCCGGCACAGGAGGAAGCCCCGCACTGGGGGCTTTTCACTCCCCTGAAGCCAAGCTTGCTGGGCTGGCATTGGCTCAGCTCCACCCCCTCCCTGCCCCCCATATCCAAGAGAGGTGGTGTGGTAGAGGGGGAATGCGCTGGCCTGGCCCCAGATCACCTAGCCAGGGCCTACCTGGTGCGGGTGAGTGGGGAGAAGCTCCCATTGGGGGCTTTTCACTCCCCTGAAGCCCAGCTTGCCAGGCTGCGATCAGCTTAGCTCTGTCCCCTTTCAGCCCCCACCTTTGAGAGGCACAGAGTAGAATGAATGCAGCAGTCCAGCCAGACACTGGATTGCCTGATGGGGGTGAAGACCCACTCCCCCCCCCCACCTGTGAGAGGCAGGGGCAGGGAGAAGAACACACCAGTCCGGCACCAGCCCCCCCAGCCAGTGTCTGCCCAGCACCGGGTAGTGAAAGCCGCCACTGGGGGCTTTTTGTAACCCTGCAGCCTGGTGAAACAGGTTGAGATCAGCTCATCCCTGCCCCTTCCCAGGGAGCTCTGCTAGCCAGGCTGCAAGGGAGTGAAAAGCCCCCAGGTGGCAGCTTTTCCTGCACCAAGTAGACCGCACCTGGGGGGCTAGGGCTGGGTGGTGCATTCCCCTGCCCATTCCATTCTTAGAGGTGGGGGCAAGGGCCAGATTTTCTGCTGGCTCTCCCCTCCCAGGGGCTGACAGCTATGGGGAGAAAGGTGGCATGTGTCCAGCAGCCAATCAGGCCTGGGCTGCCACTAGGTGGGGTTTAGCAGCCTTAGGCAGCTGGCCATGAGGGATCATGCACATAAGCACCCCCAGGCTCTTGCCTTGGGCCAGGTCAGGCTTCCACCTGCCTTGGTCACCCAACAGTAAATGTCAGTTCAGTTGGTTATCAGTTCAAGCTATGCAACTTAGAAAAACCTGTGAAGATTGAACCAATTCCACCTCAGGCTTTTTGAACCTCTTTACTTAACGTTAAACTGAAACTGAAGCTCCCTGTCTTGAAGGGAACAGAACAGAACAGGACATGTTACAGTCCTGAACTCAAACCTTGTACATCTTGTGACTTCCACCTCACCATTGTAAAAACTGCTTCTACCCAAGAAGCACATTCCACCTGTGAAACAGATATCTTTGAATAAGCTCTCCAAGTACTCTGTACAAAACTTCAAAAATACCCATGGGGCTACCCGTGTTGCCAACTTGCATGGTTTTACTGAGATTGCTGTGATTTTTTAATGCTTTACTTAAAACCCAAAACGTAGAGAGAACAGATCATGTGAGACTCTAATTTTAAAACAAAAAATGTTAGGGTGAAGATCTATGCTGCACTGTTAAGACACCACAGTGCCCTAAAACACACACATTGTCTTATTATGGGTTGTCTTGTGGGCTAGGGACAGACATTACACATAAACCGGCTTAAGTGATCAAAAACTGGTTTAAACCTGTAACAGAACAGATGTTCAGGCACATAAACCAGTTTGAGAATGACTGAAACCAGTTTGAGATATACCTGTTTGAGTGTAGTATCAGACTTAACTGATTTGGCTTAAATCAGTTTAGTCAATGTCTGTCCCAGACCCCTTGCTGGTTTAAATTACATCAGACTCCCCCAGCATCCCAGCATGCTCACTGGGCTGGGCAGGCCTCTCTTTTCCACAGCAGGGATGGCCTTCCCCTCTGCTCCTTAGCCAGAGCTCAGCAGTCTCTGCAGGCGTCTGCCTGGCTTCTGCTCCTCCCCTCCCCTCTCTGCTAAGCCGGCATTCCCCCATCCCTCAGCATTAGCTAGCAGACCACATGCTGGCTACCTCCCAGCCTGTGGCACAGGGGACAAAGGCAGAATTAACATATCCCTCTGTTGTTTTCTTAACGAGCTGATAAATACTGAGTTAGGGGTGATAAACACTGTGTTAGCAACTGCCTACTGGGTTCCTGGGGGAGGGAACCCCTCCCTAATCAGAGCTGCCACGGCCTGGCCACGCCCCACTTAGCTCAGCTATGTGCAAGGGATAGGAAGGCTGCTGTAGTGCCCCCCAGCTTGTAGCCTGAGCCACTGCAGGCATGTGCCTGCATTTCTAGGATGTCTGTCTGGTTAGAAAACTGATTTAGCTTAGCCAGGTTAGACTAACCTGCAAACATTTAATCAATTCAGGCTTGGCCTTTTTGAATATCTATCCCTAGCCCTGAAGTGGAAGCAATGTAATAGCACTATAGGTGGGGCAGTTAATATAGGAACACGGTGGCTGATGTCACCCAACAGTGCTAATTAACCTACCCAAAGTAGTGTAGTCATATGGCTATACTCCTTTCAGTACAGAAGACAACATGTGCAGAGCAGCATGGCATATTTGAGGGGCAGACACTATCTCACACAGTTAGATATATATGCCCTCCTTTTCTAGTCCTTGTGATGGTGGTAAAAAATGTGAAAATGAGACCTGTACATAACCTAAACACTCAAGAACATAAAACAAACAGAACCCGGAACAGACATTTTAAAATGTAATTTTTTTAAGCTAATTGCATGAATTTGGGGCCTCAAGTCCAGATTTTTGAACAATTAAGGTTCACAATACAGCCAGAAAGCTTCTAGCCTGTGGCTTTCTATACTCTGAGTCAAATGATAAGACATACAGTACTTGTTTGTTTTTCTCTTTCTGTTTTGTATCTTCCCCCAGTCTCTAGTAAAGCTGAACATGAAGCTGAAGCCCATGCTGGACTCGGTGGCAACAAACAGAAGTAAATGGGAGGAGCTGCACCAAAAAAGACTTCTCACTCAAGCAGCAGCAGCCTCCTCCTCCTCTTCCAGCTTTACTGTGTCTCTAGAAGACATAAATTAAGCCTGCAAATGCCAGCTGTTGTGGTGCTGAGAGCTGTCCGAAAGGCTTTATTTAGCTTAGTTCCATCAATTGGGAAAAAACTCACAACTTTCACAGACTTACTTAATTCACTGGATGTTATCTTGATGACAGTGGTTGCTTTTGCCTAGACATTCAGTGGGCCCGGAAAGAAGGCCTATGTTGATCAGGGTTATGTTGATATCTAGCACAAGAAGCACTCATTCAGCTCCACTACCTTTCAGCTGCTGCTGTAAAAATCACACAAAGCTGACTATGGACTGAGATACAAGAACTTACAGCTTCATAAAATTAATAATACAGAGCAGAAATGGAATGCACATTGGTCAGTTCATATGCAAGGAGCTGGAGGAGAAGAGAATAGTGTGTAATTACTTAGTTGTTTTGCATCTCTCTGGTGTTCATTATGAACCAATAATGCCTGCAATTGTGATGTTTCTCTCTTACTCTTTCCTCCTCTTTTATGCTCGAATGTTCTGAAAAGCCTGCTTTATATTCTACAGAAGTATTTTTTTACAACAAAGTTCCTTGTTGATTGATTAGGACCTTTAGAATTGCCTCTCTTTGCTACCTTTAAAAACAAACTTTATTATCTTGAAAAATATCAACTGTCCCAGCTCTCCTAAGAAATTAAGAATAACAATTCTGTAAATTACCCAGGAAGTGGGAATTTGTGCAAAGGCAAAACTACTGCATGATAAGTTTTTAGAAACACTCCTTTAAAATATTCAGTTTACTCTGCAGTGTTCCCTAAGTAAAGTACTAATGGACGTTAACGAAAATAGGATAAAAAGGAAATCTGTTGCCTTGTGCTACAGAAGCTGTGTTGCAGAGTGCACCGTGGATATGCCTTTCTGATATAATTTCCAAATGAAATGAATATTTCCACTGTTACCCAACAGAAATGGTGAAGAAATATGTACCATCAAGCTGAACACTGGCTACCTCTTCCTTCTCTTGCCAGCTGCTGCTTACTTAAAATTTAAGTCAACTTTCTGTTACAGTTATTGGAAAGCAAGTCAATGATCACATTCACATATATGGGATAGAGTTGTTTGTAACATTTTAATCAAACATCATAGGTCAAGAAGCCAAATGTCAAATTCTCACTAGTATTATGTGACCTCTCCGTTACAGCAGAGATTGCTGGCAACCTATGATTTGAGGCTGTGCACTCCATTCTGAGCACCTGAATACCTGAGGACCCATATTAAAATACTTAGGACTTGACACACAGAAAATGGCTCCATTCAAAAAAGAAGCAAAAAAACAAACAAACTAATGGCCCACTCTTTTGGCCATTAGTTCTTGAAGTTCCTAAAGAAAGTTATTTAGAAAATATAAATGCCCACAGGCACTCACATAAGAAATGAAAGCCAGATTCAGAGCTCAGTTATACCTACATGTACTAGAACAGCTACACTGACTTCGGTACAGTTGCTCTGGATTGGCAGAATCTAGCCCGTATGACTTGATGTGCAAAAGATCTCAGTCCCCGACACAATGTCTCCCATCCAGGCATTTATGGCTTGTGTCTACTGAGTACTTTCTAGAAAGCTGACCAATGCTGTGTAATTGATAATTAAACAAATGAGAACTTATTTAAAAGCTCTGTGCTGCTACTAATTTGTGTAGACAGCATACATGGGAGATTCCAGAACCACTGCAAAATCCAAGCTACTGAATCATAGTAGTCTTTTCTACCAAAGAGAAATGGGGAAGGGGAGAAATCTATGAATACAAGCACTGTTTGAACTTGTTTCTATCACCTTTTTCCTTCCACGATAAATATACAGCTGGGATAATCTACTGCAAGCTTGTATAACTTATTTATATAATGCATGCTTTATGGGAAAAGCAGACATCATGATCGACTTAGTACTGTTGGCAGCTTCACAGAGCTTTCCTGAATTTTGATATTGCATATCACTAAATATAACATAATTTATAGTACACATACCCTACAGCTCCTCCAAGGTTGAGTTCTCTTATTTCCTTTTCTTTTTATTGGCTTCAGTGCACTGTTGCCCCTAGCAACACTCACTGGCAGTGATGGGAATTCAGCATTACTGCAACCTGACATACAGTTGAGGCCCTAACAATGTCAACCATCAATCAGTCGGCTGCTTATAATTGCCTCCATCTATTTCTCCTGTCTTGTGGCATCCTTCCTATTGTGGGTCAAAATTCAGAAACTGCTGACTAATGTTACGATTCTGTTCCTCTGTTGCAAAAAAGGGAATAAAAGAGAGCATGCTTGGATCCCCCTGAAATTCTCCTCTCAGGAAACAAAAACACTCTGCTGAAACCAGTAGGATTGTACTGGTGTCTGAAAATAGAATTTGGCCTCCACTGTTTTTTTAAACTTCGGTTTAAAAAGGCTTCAGTGTGTTTCCCTAAGGAAACACACATACACACACCTCTTACCATTAAAGCATTCATATTTTTGGCTTAAAACCCTGGTGGTGTTTTTGAAGCAAGGGAACATTCTGTACAGAAAGAATGTGTCATATTGTTTCTCACAATTAGGATGGTAGTGGGTACACCTTTGTCCCTGTTTGTCAGATTCATTTATACAGATTTTGGCAACTGTTCATTGTTTTGGTGCAAAAACAGCTTTTCTCGAGGGAATGAAGTATTTTTCCAGAACTCTGAGCTGTTTTGTAAACCTATTCCAGTAAAGGCTGTACTGAGGTCACTGTAAAACACAGTTTAAGCCCAAATTCTTCCCTGCTCATTACTCAGCCCTTTGAACAGGCAGAGATTACCTGGCACAGAAATCAGATTGGTTCTGCTGCATGAGTGGGAAGGACAGGATTTTTCACACGAGAGGGTCTATAGTAGACAGACTACAATGTTAACCAGACAGCAGAGCTACTCTGCCCTTCTGTGGAGCTGCCCAATGCACAGCTCAGTATTCAGTCTGGTAAATAGGAGGATCTTCAGTCATTTGTCCGTTCCATGCCTTCCATGGAATTACTGCCTAAAGTGGTAACTGACATTTGTCTATATTTGTGGCCCAATAATACAAGGTGCTAAGTACATAGATCTTACAAAGTCCATTGGGGTATTTCATGGGATGTGCGAAATTTCAATGGGTGTTTCATTTCGAAGCTGTTTCAACGTGTTTCGAGCTCAAAACAGCAAAACTGAAATGAAACGAAAGGCTTTGAAACCCAGTGCACAGATCTGGGGGCCCACGCCCCCCGGGAAGAGCTGGGGAATTGAACCAGGAGCTGGGGGAAGCAAACTGGGAGCTGGGAAAATGTTCAGGTCCCTAAACATTGACCCATTTCCTGGTTGGATTCCCCAGCCCCCTGATCTTTCCCCCAGTTCTTCCCAGGGGGCACAGGCCCCTGGATGATGCGGGATAACAGCAGGCTGTTGTTACCAGGAAGTGATCCAAGTTTTGCTTTGAACATTTTGAGGTTCAGTTTCCCAGAAACCCCTGCACCTATCTCCTCGAAACTTGGCAGATTACATGCCCTTAGAAGGGGCTACCATCCCTGCAATTTTCATCCAAATCAGGCAAGAATGACAAAGGTATAGGCATTTTCATGAGTCCCCATTATAGCCTATGGGTGAAACATTGAAACAGCACTGAAACAGTGAAACAGTTTCAACAAAATAAAACAGAACAAGTGCTTCAAAACAAAATGAAAACACTGTCCTTTTGAAATGGCAAAACAGAAATCGAAATGAAACCACACTGTTTCTCACAGCCACTCCTCCAAGGAGTTGCACAGGACCAGCTCTGCAGAAGGACTTAGGCACTGCAATGCTTACCCTTTAGGGGTCTGAACAACTACAGCAATCCTCAGCTGTAACGTGGCTACCCAGGATACCTATGTGAGGGAAGAGGAGGGGAGCAAGGTGCCTAAGAACAGGATCCACAGAAACCAGCAGGCTGATGAGGAAACTATATAACTTTGCCAGTAGAAATGCTCAGGAGAGGGACAAGGCCTAAATCCAGTTCCTCAAGAGGCAGTTCAAGCACTGAACTCCACTCAGGATTCTCAGCAATGAGTCCTCCGCAGTAGTTAGGCATGCAAGCTAGGTCAGCCCTCTCTCATGAGGAAGGGGGAAAAAATCCCCTTCTCATATCTCCTGCTAGGTAGAGCTTCACATAGGAGGTGGGAGACCCATTTTCAAATCCCCACTGTCTACTTTGAAACAGGATCTTGAACCTGGCTCTCACATCCCAAAAATTACCCAATCACTGGCTTATTGGGTGTTCTGGGGTGAACCTTACATAGTCTTTCCTGAAGTTGCTCTACAGAGTGTAACTAAGTAGACAGTCATTTGGAGCACAGATTTGAACCTGACTGTACCACACAAGTACCCTAATCATCACGCTACAGTCAATCTTTTTTTTCTCCCTCCCTGGTCCTACTATTTAATTTTTAAAAGCAGGGGGAAATGTTCAACAGAAGAGACTGAACAGGACTCGTTCCAGAATACCAAGTAGCAAAATAGGAACATCTGGGTTCAAGGTCCTACTCTATACCAGCCAGAAAAAGGAAACATGAAACAGAAAAACATCTCCCACTGCCCAGGTGAATCTTTAACCCCTGGGCTAGTAGCTAAAGTGTGATTCACTTGGTTGAAAAGTATTTTCCAGCTGTGTGAGACCCAGTCCATAGATCTGCTCTAAAATACCTTATCCAGACTGGAGAGAATACCTCATTTAACTATCCTGTCAGGGCTTAGATGGAAAGTTGGGCTCTAAGCAATTTAGCAGTGCCAAAACGTAGGCAGATTTGTCCACTAAAGTAGACACATTCGTGCCTTTCAGGTTAAACAGAAGCTGTGTACGGGGTTGATCTTAGTGGTACCTAACTGTGGGACTTAAGTGCTTAAGTGTGTTTATGGATCTAACCCAAAGTACCTTGCAGGATCTTGGCCACTGATGATGATTAGTTATGCAATTTGAATGGGGGATTAATAGACTTTGTACCCATGAAGAAAACAAATGACAAATAATAGGATGAGTATATTTCATTTTAGCTCAGGTATTCATTAGATTGTGTCACAGGTAGAGTGGCTGCATTTTCTGGCCTGGTGACTTTCTTAACCTTTCCTACTTCCTGTGCACTACAGTTTTACGAACATGCCTCTAATTATCAACAAAGCCAATGCCAGTATTCACAAAGTATTTCTGAAAACTGCAACCAGCAGTGCCTGATAAAAAGCTAATTACTGAGATACAGACAGTTCAGTAATTCATGCTAAAAATAAGACAAATGTTTCAGTCTATAGATTTTAGCTGTCCCTTAAGGAATTCCTCAGTATATTGAGATATTTTGTGTATTTATTAAAGACTAGCTTTAAGATTTCATGATTACATAAAACATCTTTCAGTCTATACCAAATTAACAGAAGGAACTTCCAATGCTCAAAATGACAGGAAAATGTAAAGTGAGAAAGTGGTATTTGCCTCTCTCAAGGAATCTGGGGATTTCTTTTACATGTTTAAATTGTGTGAATGGGTTCTAACAAAACACTTCTAATCAGCTGAAATAAGAGAATTCAGAGGTTATCAGTGATGATATGTTATTGACTATAACAGTAAAAGAAAAAAATGCTGTGTATTGTTAGCCCAAAAGAAGTAAAAAAAAAAGAAAAGGTATGAAGCTTTCATACTTATGTTTCAATTTATCAGCATGTTGGACATTGCATCCTTTAACTGTGTGGGAAATACAGTTGTAAACTATCAGTGTCTGTGTTTGTGTATGTGTCCAGTATTACACACATACACGGTCAGACAAAATTTTTTT